TCTTCTGCCCGGCGGAATAGGCAGCTCCACTCAACCTTACCCAAAGGTAATTTTGGTGTTTTTTGCTTTCAGTTGCTTTACTTTTGAGCGGTTTCAATGGATCTTGCAAAGCTTGTGATGGAGATTGAACGTTTTCTTCCTTGCAGGTTTAAGTGATGAGTCTTATTCCCCTGAATCTCCCCCTACCAAGAAGAGGAAGAGAGGGCCTGGTCGCCCTAAGGGAAGCAGGAATAAGCAGAACAAGCAGATGTTGAAGTCGTGTAGACAGGAAGAGCAATCTGAAAAGAAAGGTAAAACATTTTTAAATATAAACATAATATTGCTGTGCTTGGTTCTAGTCTCAGTGGTAAATATCTTTAAATATACCACATATTTTGTATTTATGATTTACAAAATATGTTGTAAATTGACAGCCTATTCTTGCTTGGCAATGAATTCCAATTTCAATGTTGTCCTAGCCTTATCAGTGTATGTTTTCTGTTTAGGTTCCAAGTCAGAGTGCCACATATGCCATGATGGCACAGGTGGTCATTTTAACGTTACCGACTGTGGTCATCTGTTCCATACTGATTGCCTGAACCGCTGGCTGAGGGCATCTAACCAGAAATACCGCAGCAAAAAAACTTGTCCCTACTGTGGTGGCAGCTATGAAGATGTGCTACCCATTTTCAAATAGTTGAAGTTCTCTATTTGTGTAATTGAAGTTAAAATATTTGTCTTGTATGGACTTGCTTCACATTTTATCTCTATGCATTTTTTATATGTTCCTGTTTTGACATTATGAAATAAATACTATTTCGTTGCTAAATTTTCTGATTCTTTTTTCCTCCCTTTAAGTTATGATTTCCAGTAATGATTCATTTTGTCATTTGAGTGCTGAAATGATCCATTTCACTTTTCCCTTATATCCATATGCTAAATATGTTTTGTATGTGTCTTGCTGAACTCTCAGCAGGCTCCATATTAGCTGCCATGCACAATTATGGTAACAAATGGAAGAGGGGCAAAATATTGGCTTGAATCAGCAAAATCACGGTTTGGTCATTTTAGTCTTGAGTGCAATTGGCATTTGACTCAGAT